ATGTGGGTCTAGTGCACACAATATGCACTAAATCACTACCTCTGTTAGCAAACACTATAGTAATAGTAACCACATTGAATTCCTATACTATTCCTAAGGACAGAATATTCTAATCATCAATTCAGATGAGACAACTCATATAGATAAACATTCTAAATGAAAGTCATGACTACTGAAAATGCAATTTATCATTAAGTGCTATGTATATGTGATTGTTTACAAAACTTGAAATGCATGTCTCTGGGGTGAAGGTAAGAGAAAGTAACCATATGCATTTTTTGAAAAATAAGCTGGTAAAAGCATTTCTTACTGCTGTAATTTCTTGAAGATGAACCTTCTAGATGACCATGGAGATCTAACAAAGTATGAAAATTTATAGCTCCTTAATATGATATTCAGTGTCTGTCTTGTGCTTTTTAGGTCTATGGGATGCAAGACTGTCATTTTTCAACAGCATTAATATAGTCTCTTTAACTACAAATGATGAAATGCTATATTTCACAATGTGGTCAGATCTGTTCAAGAGTTGTAGTTTTACAATGTAAATCATCACTGTTTCCTCCAGCGCCCCCACAGTTCTGCTTTAGTTTCCCTACATTCTCTAGCATTCATTAATTTTGCCTTTATAAAATACTGAAACAAAACAGCAGCATTTATATCAAAGAAATGTTTTCATTAACATGTTGTTTCAAAAATACTTTACAAATATATTCTCATGTTTATGCCCAGAAAGACCTGTAAGGTGAAAACGGTACATTGTAGTCCTTGACAGTAGGCTCCTGTATACTTCAAAATTGCTGATTCTTCAAAGCAGGAAAAAAGAAAACGTTAAATGGTAAGGAAACTAAGACAGTCAGAGGACGTTATTTCAAACTGCAAATGGTATGGTATCTGATGTCATTCTTGTCTTTGGTTTTAGCATACAATCTGGAATAAAGTGAATTCCTGAAGTACAGAGAAATGCAAATACCCATCCTGGATCATCCAAATCACTTCAAAGTAGCAATCACTATGAAATAATCTTTGTACTCATTAGTGTGTGACAAAACAATCTTTTCTATACATATTGAAGGTGCAGTTATTAGATACGTACACCTTTTGCTCTGGAATTAAAGATATACAGCCTGACCCTGCTGCTGTTGTTTTTCCTCCCCTTTATTTACTCTCTTCCTTAAAAAGAATTGAAGCTGCCACATGAAATTTACAATGTATGGTTCTTCCTTATAGAAGATACTTTTTAGAAGAGGTTTGAGACTGAAATGTGAGATCCAGACAGACAAGTGGGCCAACAGGAGACATTACAAATCTATAAGCTGAATTCAGATTCAAATTTCATATGCTCCTTTCATAATTGCAGAGGAAAACCTGCCAAACTCTAGAAAACTGTGCTACAACTACCTGGTATTTGGATTTGGACATTTCTGGGTTTGTTTCCTTCCCTCATATAAGCATAAAACCACCTACTACTGTACAGACTAAATTTAGGCAGGATAGATACCCAACCATCAGACTGCATCAGAAATCTCATTACACATCTTGTACAGGTTAGAATGATAATTTCTGTTACCATTCTGAGGCAGCAATCCATATTAAATACTATCTTTAAAAATATATATCATGTTCATTTTTATACTAGAATTGACTCACATACTATATTAAGTGCTATTGGAAATAAGAAGGCAGTAATTTTCTGACAGTAACTTCAATGGTTTCATGGCCTAAGCCATAGAAGTTCATGTTACCATCACAAGTTTCACAATTTTGAGGACTACTTTCCATAATCTCATAAACTAACTTTAAATAGCTGCAAATGGCTATTGACTTGGAAGAAAACCTCTGAAACTACAGCTGTTTCTTAATTATGGTCAGCAGGGGTCCACAGCTGGTCTTCTGATCAAATGCAGCACGTAACTTCCTGAGAGAAAGGTCAGTATTCATTGGTCTTTTCATTCAAACTAGCCTTCCAACAGTGCATGGAAGGCTAAAGGCTGATTGCATCTTGCTAGAGATATAACTACAGTTATGTTTTTGGTAGTAAAATGATATATACATTTCTGATTTGACTACAGCTCATTAATTCAGCCTAAGGCATATACTTTGAACAACAGAAATACTTCTATAAAAGTCACTATGTGCTCTTCGTGAACAACATTGTCTGGAAGGACATCTCATTAAAATCTGCAGTGTAACTCTATATTCCTCCTGGAATGCACTGATGATAACTTCCTTCTCCAAGTGATCAAGGAGCCAACAAGGAGAGGTGCTATGCTGGACCTTGTTCTCACCAACAAGTAGGGGCTGGTGGGGAGTGTGAAGCTCAAGGGCAGCCTTGGCTGCAGTGACCATGAAATGGTGGAGTTCAATATCCATAGGGCAGTGAGGAGAGCACACAGCCAGCTCACTATCCTGGACTTCAGGAGAGCAGACTTTGGCTTCTTCAGGGATCTTCTTGGCAGAAGAGCATGGGATAAAGCTCTGGAGGGAAGAGGGGCCCCAGAAAGCTGGTTAGTATTCAAGGTTCACTTCCTCCAAGCTCAGAAGCAACACATCCTGGCAAAGATGAAATCAGGTAAGAACACCAGGAAGCCTGCATGGGTGAACAAGGAGCTCCAGGACAAACTCAATCACAAAAAGGAAGCCTACAGAGGATGAAAGCAAGGACAGGTAGCCTGGGAAGAATACAGAGAAGTTGTTCAGAAGCGATCAGGTTAGGAAGGCCAAAGCCCTGATAGAATTAAATTTGGCCAGGGACATGAAAGGCAACAAGAAAAGCTTCTATAGGTACACTGGTGATAAAAGACTAGGGAAAATGTAGGCCCTCTCCAGAAGGAAACGGGAGACCTGGTTACCAGGGATATGGAGAAGGCTGAGATACTCAACAACTTTTTTGCCTCAGTCTTCACCAACAAGGGCTCCAGCCACACTGCCCAAGACCTAGAAGGCAAAGGTGGAGACTGGGAGAATGAAGAACTGCCCACTGTAGGAGAAGATCAGGTTTGAGACCATCTAAGGAACATGAAGGTACACAAGACCATTTGGCCTAATGAGACACATCCAAAGGTCCCGAGAGAACTGGTGGATGAAGTGGCTAAGCCACTCTCCATCATATTTGAGAAGTTGTTGCGGTTTGGTGAAGTTCTCTCTGACTAGAAAAGGGGAAACATAACCCCCTTTTTAAAAAGGGAATAAAAGAAGACCCAGGGAACTACAGGCCAGTCAGTCTCACTTCTGTGCCTGGCAAGATCATGGAGTGGATCCCCCTGGAAACTATGCTAGGGCACATGGGAAATGAGGAGGTGATTGGTGACAGCCAACATGGCTTCACTAAGGACAAATCGTGCCTGACAAATTTGGTGGCCTTCCACAACGGGGTTACAGCACTGGTGGCTAAGAGAAGAACAACTGATGTAACCTACCTGAACTTGTGTAAAACATTTGACATTGTCCTGCACAACATCTTGTGTCCAAAACAGAGAGACATGGACCTGATGGATGGACCACTTGGTGGATAAGGAATTGGCTGGGTGGTCACACTCAAAAGGGTTGCAGTGAACAGCTTGATGTCCAAGTAGAGACCAGTGACAAGTGGAGTTCCTCAGGGATTGGTGTTGGGACTGGAGCGGTCTAACATCTGTGTCAGCAACACTGACAGTGGGATTGAGGGCACCCTCAGCAAGTTTGACAATGACACCAAGCTGTGTGGTGTGGTCAACATGCTGGAGGGAAGGGATGCCATCCAGAGGGACCTTGGCAGGCTGGAGAGGTGGGACTGTGCAAACCTTATGAAGTTCAACAAGGCCAAGTGCAAGGTCCTGCACATGGGTCGAGGCAATCCCAAGCACAAATACAGGCTGGGTGATGGAGTGAATTGAGAGCAGATCTGCAGAGAAGGACTGGGGACTATTAGTGGATGGAAAATTGACTACGAGCTGGCCATGTGCACTCACAGCCCCAAAAGCCAACCTTGTCCTGGGCTATATCAAGAGCAGTGGGGCCAGCAGATCAAGGGAGATGATTCTCCCCCTCTACTCCACTCTTGTGAAACCCCACCTGGAGTACTGTGTTCAGCTATGGGGCCCCCAGCATAAAAAGGACATAGACTCATTGGAGCAAGTCCAGAGGAGAGCCATGAAGATGATCATGGGGCTGGGGCACCTCCCCTACAAGGGCAGGCTGAGAGAGTTGTGGTTGTTCATCCTGGAGAAGAGAAGGCTCTGGGGAGAACTTATAGTGGCCTTCTAGTAGTTAAGGAAAGGTGGGGAGAGACTTGTGATAGATGAGGTATAATGGTTTTAAACTGAAAGAGGGTAGATATAGATTAGATATAGGGAACAAATTCTTTACTGTGGAGGTGGTGAGGCACTGGCACAGGTTGCCCAGAGCAGCTGTGGCTGCCCCCTCCCTGGAAGGGTTCAAGGCCAGGTTGGATGGGGCTGGGAGTACCCTGGGCTGGGGGAAGGTGTCCCTGCCTGTGGCAGGTGGATTAGAACTAGATGGTCTTTAAGGTCCCTTCCAACCCAAACCATTCTATGATTTACTAGGTACACAAGCCAAAACCACATCTTTGTATAGATTGGACCATCAATGCTACAGAAAAAGTGAAAGTCACACATGTTGCCATAAAATTTTATATCACAGTATGCTGGGAGTAATTTACAAATGTGTCCTGTTATACTTCTGTAGGCATAGAAAAAACTCAAAACATTTACAAAGTATGTACAAGATGACTTTAGGCTCATGTCTCAAAATGAACCAAATTAATGAGTCCATTGAGAGAAAATTGAAGTATTTAACACACTGCCCTGTTGAGCTAGAAGATCAGCACCAAACACTGAAATATGTGGAAATAAGTGCTGAATGTTTAAAGCACGGACACTACATAGTGCTCAAAAATCTTTTGATGTATTAGAGTTATATAAACATGAGGTAGGTTTTGCTCAATAATATATAATACTGGTAAGAATATTATCAAAAAAAAAAAAAAAAAAGACCAGTGAACCAATGTGAGCTTACTCTAGAACAGAAATAAACACAGAGAGGTAGTTCTTGTTCTGTACTAGATGAATTTTCTGGAATAAAATTGAGTCTGCTCCAGCTGAAGTCTGTAAATGTGAGAGCAGGCTAAATTTCAATTAAACAAAAAAAGGGATGGAATTACAATGTTCTCTTGTGACTTGCATACAGTTACAGATACGTACAGTCAGAAATTAATTTTACACAAGCACCAATAGGCCTACTAAGTACTGAACTGTTTTCAGTCTCACTGGTTAGTCAGCTTGGTGAGAATCTCACTTCTGTTTTCAGATGCCATATTACGGTATATTGTATGCACACCTAAAGATGGATGAAAGAATAAAATAGTTATAATAAGATATACAAATCTCTGATGGCTTATAGCACTAGCTGAACTAAGCAAATTTAATAAATTATAATACAGCTTTTATTTTACTCTGGAGTGAAAACTATTGGCAGCTTTTTGATATATAAGGACTTTTATGATTAAAAGTGTTGTATGCACAATACTCAGCCAGTGTATGTCAGAGAAGTCTCATTAGAATAAAGTTAGAAAATCAGCCCCCTATGCTGTTACTGGATTTATTAGATGCAGTGTGATTTCAAATTTGAATTCTAAGTCTTTTCATCAAGGCTTGCAGCTGTGTAAGCAAGTGTAAAATGCTACCAAATCCACTGTAGCTTATTTTACAAAGACAGAGGCTTACTTTTGCTCTTACGTATAGAAGCTTAGGACATTGCCTTCACAGAAAGGAAAGGCTTCCCAGTCCAGTCTTTTTTGTTATAGAATTAATATGGAGTTGTTCTAAATGACTGAAAACTGCCCAGAATTGCCCCTACCCTAGTATTCATCCCTGTGGTACAGAGATAAATATTTGTATGAGGGACACCATGAAACAGTGATATAGAAGAGAGCTGGGCTGTATGTGTTGTCATAATGTTCCACCATGCACAGTAATTTACATATCCTAATTTAAAACCTGAATTATATTTTTTTAAAAAACCTTACAAAATCTTTGAAGGTTACCTCATAAATAAGCATTTTTTCTAGTCTTTCAGAGTTCTGGTAATTGATATAGAAGGGCAGGGGCAGAATGGAGAGTGATCAATAAATAAAAAAAACTAAACGGAGCACCACAGGGAAAACCTGTTAAATAAAGTTAGTGTGTTGTGGCAGGATTTCACAACCAAGCACTCACTAAGAATCAGTGTATAAGAGAACAGCAGTCTAAATTATTGAACTCAATACGGTTAATTGGCTAGCAACCATGAAGTCACACGGTGGCTTTTTTACATTCAATTTTCAAAATAGAATACCACTCAATATAACTTAAAGTAGTGCTATATGTAAAACACAACTTGACATTTCCCCCTTGCTTTCTTGCAAATGAGTGATAGTATTCTGAAAGTGATTTCTACATTTTATGTAAGTTAAAATCTCTTAACAAAAGCTTCTTTTGCTTCTAAATGAATCGACTTGTACCATCTTTGACAAGTCATTCACACTTACACAGTGGGTGCTGAGAGTAAGTAGGGAGATTTTAGAAGACCAGTAAAGTTACTCAATCATCTTCACAAAAAGCTTTTAGATTTGAAACTGGTATGAGCCAAACCAAAAACATAAGCAAGCTAGACACTGTCCATGTCACAGGTCAAATCTGAGGAATTAATCTTTTCCAGTGCATGATTTTATTTATAGTTATTGCAAGTCTTCTATGAATAGTCTTTATTACAAAGGCATTTTTATTAATTTAATCAAAAGGGCCCCACTCCAAAGCCAAAATGACTGATGTGCTGCATATTTGATGTGCAGATGAAAACGAATTTTCATCAGACACAATGGATATTTTGTTTTACAGGATTACTGTGTAATTATCATATAGGTCTGAGTCAAAAAAATTGGAAATGGGAAAGACATAATGAACAAGGTACACATTTTCCATGTGTACCTCTGGAAAAAAAAAAAAAAAATCAATTCCATCCGCTGTATTTGCCTATTTTTATGCCAAATACAGCATAAGAATGGGAACAAAACACAGCCAGCCTGTTTTTATCAGAAAATATTTTTTCAAAAATCTTTTCCTTTGGAAGAATTGATGGCTCTTTCCTCCTGCTTGTTTTGATCTGTAATTGACAGCTTTTCCCAATGCTTAATGAAGGTCTCTGCTTCATAAAATAAACTGTAAGAGGTCAGAAACTTTTTCTTCCACAGTAGGTGTGCTCTGCTTCCTGTCATACTAGATGTTACCACTCTACAATGGTGTGTTTTAGTCAAAAACATTTCTTACCTAAAAAATGGATTCTTTAAATCAAGAATGTTACCAGATCTAAATCCTGTCTGGTCCACCACTGCCACAATCTGAATATCATAACTTCGTCTGTATCAGAAAGAAGTATAAAAAAGAGGTAATGGAACTAGAACAATTTTAACATCTTGTGTGAAAAAATACCAGCTTAGTTACTGTCTGAAAAATAATGACTTAGTGTAACAAGCAAAGGAAATTTATTTGCAGTGGTATCAGTGCAAAGGCATGATTATTTAATCATCTCTAAAGAAGTAAAATTTACAAGATGCTTAAGTGATTTTAAGAGTTCACATCTGAAAAATGTCATAATTTGCACTGACAGTGCTCAATAGTGAAAGGTCTTTCCTTCCCCTCTCTGGTGGAAATACTATAAGTTTCAACATTAGCAAGTACAATCAGGGTATTATTTCATGATCAAAAGTACCTAACTGGCCAAACAGCATTAGGGTCACTCGTCATAATCCTGGATTTCCCCAGGAAGGATATTTTTCACAGGACCTTTTGCAAGAAACTGAGCTTATACAGAAAAGTAAAGAGGACCAACTGAGCAACTGAGAACATACCAAAACAGTGGAACTGACAAAAGCTGGTCCTCCCGCACAGAGCAGCATCTGCAGAGTTACATAGAGGTACTACATTGATCCCAAAAGCAGATTAGCTTAGCGGCGGGGCTTGCTAGCTCAGTGCTAACACATGGTTAAAATGCTTCTCATTCCCAGTCTGGCAAGGTCACTAGCTCAGGTATCTCTGAGTCATGCTCCATTGTAGATATGTCTTACGTACTGACATATTTACAGCAGTGGCCTACAGTGTTTCTTTTATATATTAAAATATGAATACATTTTACATTAGAAAGAGACAGATCAATATCTGTATTATTTATTTTCTCCATGGAGAGTTTCTAAGCAGAACGTCTAGAAATTTGACAAGTCCCAAGTTAAGTATTTGTTGCTGATGTGATTAAAGAGCCCTACAAGTCTTACTGACAGCTTTGATATCACTAGAATCACCTGACTGGTTAGCATGTGTCCCCCTGCCCCTCAAAAAATAATTCACCTTCCTACACCAAGGAGACTTTGTTTTCTGTTTAAACTACACATACACGTAAGCAAACCAGGTTGCAACTTGCGTGACCCAGTCACTGGAGGATTGTTTTCAAAGCAAATTGCAGGAGTAGAGTTACTGAATATTTGACTGACAGCAGGAATCGCAAAGAAGTCTGGTGAGGAAATATGTCCTTCCAAAAGAAGCCATCTTCATTAGCCTCAGTGGAAGGACAAACAACACATGAAAAACACTGTTCTTAAACAGGGGAGCACATGCATAAGGAATTTTTTTCAGAATCAAAAATGTAATGGATTTGGGATCAACCCCACTTCTCCTTGTCTCTGAACAGGACTTGCTGAGAGGCTTCAGGCAAACATCTAGGCTGCTACTGAAGACATGGCCAGAGGTTACACTACCAGAACAAGGTGTGGAAAATTACTAGATATGACCTGTGAAAACTGCTGTGTGTGAAAGCAGAGTGGAAAGCCAACAAAAGCTGCAAGTAACACTGTGAGGGAAAGCAGGATGTGACAGGTGGTTAAGGAGAAGGCAGGTGGGAAGGAACATCACTGGTACCTGGAGTGGAACATGGAAACCTTTTGGTGAGCACAGTTTCACAAAGTCAACACTGCTTGCGTAACTGTACCAGTGACACCATGTAAATTGGTAATGGTACCAGAAATAACACATGTAGGTACAAGCATACCCATAACTATCTGGTGTCTTTTGGGTACCTCCGACAAGAGCAGCCACACTACAAAAGCTGCTTGGGAAGCTTTTACACTTACCGAACATTGGCAACAAGTAGGACTTTCCCTGAGAGAGTTTGTCCTTCTTTAGCAAAGAGGGGTGTCTGAAAAAGGCAGCGTACTTGATACCAGTGAGTGAGAGGTTCTGTCGGTGCAGTGGACAACCAAACAATTTCTCTGAAACAAATGAGAAAAAAAACTATCTAGAGTTTCTCTCCTGTCTTCTGCTTTCAGAAACAAACCAAACTGTTAAAACTTATGTATGTGAGGCCTCAACAGCTTCTAATAGCCTTTAAACTGCCTTACTTAAAGTAAACTGGGAGAGTCATTCTACCCTATGCTGGAAAATCAATACGTTATGCCTCATTCTCTTTCTTAATCTATACTGTGCCCGTTACTACCAAATCTGTATGCCAAAGCCAATTACGGAGATTCGAAAAAGAGACTCTTCAGACACCCATTTTCTCTTCTTTCGACACTGCCAGGACAGAAAACACTAATTTAGCTCTTCTTACCACTAAGACAATTTCAACAGCTTGCAGGAAATTTAAGTTTGTCCTGAATGTGGTAATGTGCTTCTTCGGAATGGTAGTTTTAATCTTTATACAACACTTCACAAGAAGGTCCTATACCTAGTTTTCAGTTGCAAGTGATATTTCAATAATGTATTGAAAGGGACTATAGGTGCAAAGAAAGCATTAACATAATACCACAAGCCTGATCCACTGAGATTTCAAGTGCCAACACAAAGAATTTCCAGAACTGTAGAAACATGAAAGAGCTGCTGATTAAGCAATTGCCTACTCCAAAATGGAGGCCTTCTTGGCAGAGGATTTCAGTCAGTTCCTACAAGTCTGCAATTTTCTCTCCTGTGTTAACTGATATGGAGTTTCTGGTTCCTTTTATAAGATTAAAAATTTTACTATCAGCTGCTAAATTAAATACAAATGCATATACATCCATTTTCTTTTAATGGATATAATATTCTGATTTCTTGACAATCCTCATTTCAAAGGCTGATAAAAGGCATTTATCAACACAAATAAACAGAAATGCATTTTAAAATTTATTAAAAAAAAATCACATCTAAAACTAGATCAATTTAACTGGGAAATCTGCAGATCTTATTTAAGAGCTACATATAGATATCTGAAATCTAGGTATTAACTACCTGATCAAGTTTATCTGATTTTCACCTACTTAGTATACTAGATGAATGTCCTCATTTTGGAATAAATGTCTGGTGCTGCAGTGAAAATTCTTCCCAAGACTGGTAAAATTTTCTTCATTTCCATTTTGTTAGCTGGAATTTGTAACGTGCTGTCCTTTATGAGACCAGCCCAAATGGGAAAATCCAGCTTATGTTCAAATGCTGCTGCTTTACTTACAGTGTAAGATAGAAAGGTATATAATATTACAAAGAATCAATATTATGTGCAACAGTGCATTTTGACCCTCAACAAGTCTTGGATATGGTCTACCATAGATAATGTGCATCCCAATCAATGGGAAGCAAGATCACCACCATCTAAGGCACGCTGCTAGCTAGGTTATCACACTTCTTGCTACCTCTAGAAGGTACAATTTCTTTAATATGAAGAAATTGCATTACAAACAAGGTCAGCACCAGATAAAGGTCTAATTCTGCCACATTTCGCAGGAAAGATGAAATTTTTTCCCCTGTAGTTAGTATTTCACAGGAAGAAGGAAAAAGTACTTACTGTGATCCTACAAATGCCACATCAAACCAGAAGGCCAGGCCATGGATTAGTCCAGACTGCATAATTTGGAAAATAAAAGGGATTTCCACTCTGCAGGAGAAAACACAATACACTGCCAAAGTAATTTCCAAAAAGTACTGGAAATTCTACCAGAAACCTACCCTGTACTAATTTATGTATTTCCATTCTTATTCATTAGTTTATGTCTCAATTTTCCATATATATACAAGGGATATGCTCTTTTTCTTTGTGACAATAAAATTAACCGATGGCACTGATTTAGGTGTTAGTTTTTTGTCTGCCTTATTTGATAGAATTAAATATGCCACTACACAAGTATTAATGCATCATTTGTGGCAACACAGCAGACTTATAAATAAAGGGGTTCAGTATTTTCAGTGGAAAATTTCCCATTCCCAGTGAAGTACCTGGATTTAGTTTAAATACTATTTTGAACAGGAAAATGTTCCACTATAAATATGACAAGCAGAATTACTGATGGAACCAGAAGGAAAAATTGAGCTGCTTGAGCATGAGCTGGAGTTTTTTCCCTTCCAAAAGAACTATTACTGGCTATGTAGTTGAACCCAAATCTCACCCACTCTGGTAGAAATATACCATAAAATTAACATTCAGGTATGAACATGTTAGTTCTGAGAACCACTGAAGGAAGTCAACTCTAGCCAGCTGAAACTGGAAAGCAATTCTCCAGCTGTCTTCCTGCTCTTAGAGCAATTCTTCTCTCTCTAGACCATGTAATTTATACAACCAGTTGTGAGTCATGTTGAAACAACAAGGGTTCAGAGTTTCAGACAGTCAGTGATACTTTCCCCTTATGACAGTGTCTTGCAAGGACTTGAAGTGCTCCCTCAAATTCTCCCATATGGTACATTTTATTTCACAGATGTACTGAGAAGGAGGTTTATCTGATGTCATTCTGGGACACAAGGGATGCAGGTTGGTTTATATCTAGGACTTTCCAACTAATGATTTGAAGGAGCTCTGGAGGGAAGTAAAGAGGTACAGCTGACTCCTGTTAGACTGGAAAATGTTTCAAAAAAAAAAAAAAGATACACAAGAGTTCAGCAAGGTATCTTGTGATGACACCATCTGAAAAGGTCTTTCAGGTTGTCTACACAGAAAACCAAAAATGCCATGATGCCATGTAACTAGATTTAAATGTGTCCCAACATATAATGCTAAGAAGTAAATACTGTCCTTCAGAGCCCACTTTATCCCTTTCAGTACGAAAATTTTGTGAACTGATCTCTGGTGTTTCACAGGCTCACCAACAGGCTTCTCTGCTAATACTAGACAAATATTCATGCAGATGAACGCTCTAGTCCATTACGAGCTGTGCACTAGTCATTCGGGCATGCCACCTTCCCTCCTCCATGTCCACCACCAAAGCCTCCTCTGTCTCTGAGCACCAACGATCAACAGCCAGTTACAAAACCAAAAGATTAAGAGTAGGTTGCTGGTGTCTGCTGACCTATGCAAATCTTCCTCAGCCGCTTCGATGAAGTTAAGAGTGTATTTCACTGTCTGGGCCACCAGAATTCTTGCATCAAAAGTATCCTATCGAGGTAAAAAATAACAAAAAATTGGAGTCACAAGTGTTATGATTCTGTCTTGTCAGCATATAAACTTGTTTTCTATTTAAAAAATGGGAAAAAAAGACAGAAATCAACCTTCACCACAGTAGACTTACTTTAAATGTTTCATTTTGTTAGCATCCCTTAGGACAATGTTAGATTTTGCAGTATTTTTGCAAATATATTTGCAATATATATAAATATATATACATGTATATATATTTACACATATATGCACATATATGTATATATATTTACATATATATTTACATATATGCATATATATGTGCAATATATTTAAAAATATATGTATTTTGCAATATATTTGTAAAAGTTTTTAATATGTTTGATGGCTTATATACCTATAAAAGACTGTTTTGTTCAATCAAGAAACAATACATTTTGTCCAGATATTGATCACTTGTGGAAAAAAAAAAGGGGGGTTTATGTGGCTGGTTTGCTTGGGTTTGGTTTTTGTATTTTTTTTTTTTTTTTTAACTACACACATTTTAATGTGCTCTTTTGCACTGCACAGTTAGGTAAGCCAAGCTAAAACAGTATGGAAATGCTTGAAAATTAAATTAAGTATTAGATTAGGAAGCAAAAATACTTCATACAGATTTCCCCCTAGAAGAAAGGAGTAGTAGGTCAGCAAATGAAAACTTTTCCCTTCGCTTTTCTTTAATCACATATACTAATCCTAATCTATCACTGTTCACAAGATCTTTCTTAAGTAAAGCAAACTCTTAATGTTAAGTTTTGTACCGCATCCTCCATTCCAGCAGTGAACTTTTCTAAGAACTAAAATCTACTGACGGAGTAAGGGGAAGTCAAGGAGATATGTGATTTTTTTTTAAGAAATAACAATTTAACGTGGCTTTGATTGGGCAATGCATTTCTGATCCTCAGGAGAGGAAGAATCTCAGCGGAGAAATCAAAACCAAACATGTACTTCATACAGGATGCAAGTATGTGCCACAATCCTACAGATTACTCCATTCTCTGAAAGCCAAAGAGCCAGCATTGAGAATGACCATGCTATAGTCAAAGATATGGCTGAATTTATGAAGGCGAATGAGAGTTTTCGCTTATACATTTTAAGTAACAAAAGCAGCTGAGTGCAGAAGGTCACATCAGTAGTCTGATGGTTTTTCCAGATTTCTGGACAGGTTTTAGGGCGTTGTGATATTCATGTGATAGCAGCTACTCTGCTATTGCTACTTCAACTAATTAGCCTAAAGCTAGCCAAGATTTATTGCAGTCAAATTTCTGAGTGAACCTTTTCATTGCACCTACAATGAAGCATTCCACTGGGGCAGGGGGCGAGGGATGGGGATCGTTTAGGTTTTTTCCCCAGACAGGTGAGAAGGACTTCTCATGCATTCTTTCTGACTAGGTACCACCAAGACTTTTACTAAAAAGAAAGAAGAATGGCAAGTGCTAGATCCAACTTACCAATAAAATAAGGATATTTACATATTAAAAAAAAGTTGTTTCATAATACAAAAACCTGTTTGCTTGGATGCTTTTTCTTTTCCTTTAATTTGTGGATCAGAGATGGGAAGGGAAAAATCAAAGTCATCATTTGTTTAAAAGACTGGAAATGCTGAGGGAAGCCAGTTGCATATAAGGAAGACAGTTGTTCACATTCTGTGGCTTCTTAGTATGTGCATATCTCTAGACATCTGTTATTCATAGCAAACCCAAGAATATTACCTATAGTAGTTAGCCTTTGATAGCAGCTCTGTTCACACTCACAGAGTAACTCCCTGGCTCTCTACTCAACAGCCACAGTGCTCTGTTAAGCAAGGAGGCTACTGCACTGGTAGAATTTTGTGGAGGGGACAAGATAGGGAGACGGAAAACCACAAAAAATAACCCCCAGACATACAAACCTACCACAATAGGTTGCTGGAAATATTCATCCACAGCTGCACTGTGCAGACTGGTCAGGTTGACCCCATAAAAGAATTCTTGGTACCTAGAAACAGTAACACATAAAATGTTTAGGGAAAAATGTTTTTTTCTGGGTTCCAACAAGACCCAGGCACAGTAACTGTAAATGGCAGGTGAAGTGTGGCTAAGCACCTCTTTCCCTTTCTCCTATCTGCCAAGAGGCCAAATAGAATAGCATCCCTCTTTAGATTACTTTACCTTCCTCACAGACATCCTATACAGCATGTAGGTGACATGATCCCCTCAAATCGACATACAGAGACATTTCATGCTATGCTTCTGAAAGAATCTATACAGCAAGCAGAGAAGAGGGAGAAGGGCTGAGGCACTCTGAAGCTGCTTTTGTAATCTTGAGCTATTTCAGAATTGGGGGTGGACCTTGTATAAAAGCAAAACAGTGATGAGGACACCTGTATTACTGGTCTGTTGCTTTTTATTCACCCTAAAGAGGAAAAGTAAGGTCATCCTATACCAACAAAATGGGGAAAAAAAGTAGTATTTTTATCTTACCAATTTATGCAAACGTGAATTTAACGTATATTCAGACTATATCCAGTATGAAATTTTAAATGAAAATACACATGCTTGCAGTAATCTTCCTCCTGTGTATAATTCTCTTATCAACTCATTTAAAAGTTTAATAGGTATCTTTACTTCCAGATAACATAAGCAAAAGGGGATGGAAGGGGGAAACAACAAGGAAACTCAACTCCTTCTGACGGAAGTGTCTTCTAGATACAAAGCCATGGTCTTCTGAGTCTTCAGAAGTACTTAAAAAGGAAAACTTCAAATGCTTGTTCTCATTGTTACAACATCGTCCAACTCCCCTAAACTTCCTTCTAAGTGGATGACTTAGTCTAAAACAATCTGGCAACATCCCTTTAATTGATAAATTCTGCAGTACTAGTTCTGTTCTAATTGCATAAAGGAAGATGCCCAGATAACTGTATGCAGTCATAAACACAAAAGAGGAAATCAGCTGACACCAGTAACTGCAAGTGTTCTTTTACCCTTTTCCATATATTTGCTGTATTCTATAACTGAGTTGCTTATTTATCACTGATAAGAAACACAGACAAAATGCACACAGTTTTTAACCACTTGCTGTATATTTATGCTTTGTACCTTTCTATCTTTGCAAGGTTTTCACCAACAAAGAAAGCAGTCTGCTCTTCTGTGGTAGACCATACATTATCACACTTTTAGGAATGAGTACTGGTAAATACAAATTAATATGCAACTCTGAAGCACAACAGTATGCCAGTCTATAGGCCTGGAGAGAAACAAAACATACTTCCACAATCTCATAAGTCTTGTGCAGATCCAAGACAATAATTCTAAGTGTATGAGAAACACGTAGTCTTTCCTTTGTATAGTTAACAGGCTATGCTAACTGCTGCATCTAATGTTAGAATGCACAGCATAATTTTTGCATAGGATTTTGAAGGGTTTTTTAAAGTTCTGGTGCCTTTACCAAATGAAAATTCAAATTGCAAATCTAAATATTTCTTTCAGTCTTTTGCTCAAGTACTATCATCCAATTGGATCCAAAACCATATCCAGTCTCTAAGATACAGGATATAGATTTAATTAAATAGGAAAGGATTTATTACACACGAAACACATCGTCTGTTCCAAGTAACAAAGCAAGGCAATGAATGAAAATTGTTTCCTGAGGTCTGGAATTTGAAGCTTGGCAAATCATAGGCTGTCACCAACCAGTTTCTGATGGTTTACCTGAAACATCCAAGAAAGCCTTGATAAAGTATTTTTTCTGAAACAGGACTTTTATAGCTCTGAATCTATCAAGGATATCCAGATCTTTTAATATTAAGAACATAAATGTCCTACAGTGGTGCAGAAGCAGAACTACTGCACTCTCACTCAGATCTTTTTGATCCCACATCTGGTTGAAGACATTAGAAGCACTAATTTGTTGGTCTTTAGAGCACTCCATGACCTGAAGAGTGTTTAATCCTCTTTTGCAATCAGTGTCCTGCATACATCCATACAAAACTACAACTATGTCAGCTGACAGGAGGACTGATACCATAGCCATCTATTCAGGGGACATCTCAAGACAGCAGTAAATTATATTGTAAGCACACAAACTACTTTGTCTAGGAAGATGTCGAACAGAACCTGATATACAAGGAGTATCATCAAATTGTGTGACATTCCCGTGGTTAGTTTGGTTGAAACATTCTCATAAAAAAGTTAAAAGCAGGTAATAAAAAGATCTGTCAAAAATGGGAGACATCCTTTTGCAAAGATGGGTGGAGGAAAAACTACAGTACATTGTGATTTAGATACCAACCTGATCACTATCATAGTAACAAAATAATACTCCAGTCTGTGATAATAATATCAATGACAAAGACATTCTTGGTGCAAAGAAAAGTTAGTTACTAAAGCAGATTTGAAAAATTGTTTTTTCCCCTTTACACAATTCTCTGAAAGCCTTGCAGCAGTGGTTGACAGATAATTCAGCTTATTAAATGTATGTATGTAGAATATCTGGACTCAAATCATGCCAGCTAGACACAGATAAAGTTGTTTGGTTTTTTTTTTGGTTTTTTTTTTTTTTTTTTTTTAGAATGCAGATGGTGTATTTCTGTTAACAAACTGTAAGAAACTAATCTAGCTGGATTATTCAGTCCCAACTGTACAATTATTAAATAACAAAAGGCAGCAGATTTCTTTCCACCACCAGTAATCTTACCATATATGTCAGTGTTCATGGACATACACACATAATATATCTACCCCACAGGTATTTCACATAAATCTTACATTTACTACAAATGAAGATTAAGCATCCTAAGCAGTCTGAAATGAAATGCCTTTATAATGGCAGCAACATCCAGTTCTGTATAGACCTGGAAAAAAAAAAGCTATATTTCTGCTTCAAACTACATGTAGTATGCATCAAAAAGTATGTATCTATTTTCTTTATTAAGTGATGAAGAATTGCATTGTGGTACAATATTGTGTTTCAGTCTTGTAATCTGTAGTCTAATATATATCATTGACATGTCATGTATATAAGCAAAACAACAGGATCTTTGGGAATAGGGACCAGGATGACAGCTGAGATGTAAAAATGAAAACGTACCAGAAGTTAATTCTACCTTCCTTTTTCAGTCTCTTAACACATAAAAATACTGTTGCAGTCTTTGTGATTGTAAATGTACAATGCCAACAATTCATAACTGGCTCAACCTACACAGTGAGACGAAAGAACAAACACCAGCTGTATAAAGTAACATTGCCAGTGATAGATTCAGCATGTAAATCACTCAAATTTCTCTTACTCCTTTAATCGCTATAGAAATAGTAAGACTGCCAAAGAATCTTTTCTGTGCTCATGCATCTTGGACTTCAGGTAATACAATGATCACCATCCACAGCATACTATGCTTTGGTGTAGCAAAGGAAACACTAGCACTTGATTCACAGTCAACACTTTTGCTCACTATGGATGCCCCATGGAGTCAATTTCTATTTCAAGAGACCCACTCAGCTCTAGCACTTCCTGAAAGATCCTTCAGACTTGCACAATAAAAAGCATGAGTGTAGGCCAGAGCAGAAGTGAACATGGAAAACATAAAAGCATTCTTTTCCTATGTTGATAGACAGTTTATGCTGAATCTAAGAACTGATTTAATTTTTAACCTCTACTGAATCTTTGATAAAAATAAAATAACATAAATCATCATTACCAAAAACTGGCTCTGCAATGCTGCTCCATGTACAACTGCTCATCGGAAAAAGGAGCCAAATAAATGTTACTGTATGTTGGGAACATAATTCCTAGTAAACAAAACAAAGTAGAAAGGTAAGTGTTTAAGAAGCTTTTGGACAATGCTCTTAAATACATGGTTTAATGTTAAAGTTCCCTGCCTGGAATAAGGAGTTGGACTCGATCCTTGTGAATCCCTTCTAACTCAGGACATTCTGTGATTATATAGTCCCACAGACATTTGTACTGGAATGCCTTCACTAGCAAGAAATCACCAGTTCAGAAGCAGCAATTGTCATACACTTCAGATATCTTAACATTTAGCTTCATTAATATATGGGTTATTGAAATGTGAATATGCTAAAGCATCTAGTAAAAAACCCAACCCAGAACAATTTACAGAACAGACTGGAATACTTCATAAAGTTCTACAGATTTTATGGTCTTATATCAAATATTTGAATTATTTAGCTTCCTTCAAAATAACTGAAATGCTAGCTATTAAATACCTCCTCAAGTCTCTCCAGTGGAATTATAGCACCTTCTTTGCTTATAGCTAACCTAATAAAAATAACATCTGTGTGAAGGATTTGCATTAAAGCTCAGAGTTGATCTGGAATTCAAATTCTGTGTATGATTTTGATCAAATTCAGAAGAACTGCTGTTAGTGAATGAGGTAGTTATATGCACTTCACTCTTAAGACTTTTACCCAGGAAACTCATAGCATTTCAGAGTAAATACTGAAATCTTAAACACAAAAGTGTACTATTATACTTTTTTTTTTTTTTTTTTTTTTTAATTTAACAGATGCTGAAGCTGAGAAGAAGAATTTTGATTGCATGAAGTGGCAAATCAGTGACAGAGCAGGGAATGAAGTCCTGACCTACTAGTTTGCAGAAATACATTTTCGTTAGGATCTTGCACTCTAATGGCTCAGGAAACCAGACTAATTACCTTACATCATTTTCTGTGGACAGTGCATCAGACTGCCTAGCATCTTAAATGAAAATCCTTGCATTCTATTGTGCATGTGTCAATGGAAGAAGGAAACAAAGCCTGGTCATTTTGAACTACACTTGAGCACACTTCTTCACCCTTTTAAAGTCTTGTATGAAATACAATGCATAATTGAAGGGGAGGACTGGTAAAGGATGGGAGGGAAGAGGAAACAGCTTTTCTTTTGTGAGTGCATCATGTAGGAAGAGTCCACAGGAATTTAAATAAAGAACACCACCCACTCACAAAATAGACACGCTTTTTAAAACTGACTGTGGGGAGAATATTAACAAGTTTGCAGAGAATAAGAGACAAAGTTTCCAAACCTAACTGGCACTAAATTAGCAACTTACTCAAAATGTCAAAATTTCAGCTCACTTCTTAGACAATCATTAAGTTTATTAATCACCACATAAGATGATTCATCCCCAGTGTACAAGTGACTAATCAGAAAAAGTTAGACATGTATCTTTCAAAGCATTCACTCATTTAAAACTGAAAATGAGCTGTCTACTGATTGTTTTTCAGAAGCCTTCCACTGGAACTGGGCCATAAGAATCTAAATGGGACACTGAAGATCAGTGGCTGACTTGAAAAATAGTACCCAGATGTGTTTTGCAAGTTTGAAACAATGCAACAGCAAAGTCATTAGCTCCCTGCATTGAGGCACTAATTCAGCCCATGCTTCAGAATCTTCTGTGCTGCAGTAATTTTACTCGAGAAAGATCTCTTTTAAAGAAGTCTTTTTAAAGAGAGACTTCATAGTTCATTTTCAGCAGTTCATGTAGAAAGATTTAGCTTTAACAATTGGATGCTCAGATTTGCCTCTCAAAGAAGATTCCCATGAGGCCCTGGAACTTACAGATTCCCTTCAAAACTCCTCCAAACACAAGAGGGATGAAATATAGAGCACTAAACTCTAATGAATCTCTCACATGTCACTCAAAAGGCAACATCCAAGTATTAGAATAAGGTATTTGGGTGAAGCCCAGTGCACAAGAACTCAGCAGTGCAACAGCATCTTACTCAAAAGCTATTTCCACTGTGAAATATCAAGAAGTCACAGCATAGTACAATAGCAGTAGTGGCTGCATCATTATATTAATTCACCTGGCCCCCCCCAGATTATGGTGGTAAAGCTAGAATGAGAGCATAAAATCAGAGAATCCTGAACTACCACTTCAAGACTTTTTTTTTTTTTTCTTTTTTTCCTTCAGAAGCTTTTTATCTTCCCCTCTCTGTGCAGGGCTTAACTGTGGTGACACACTCACCATTTGACTTCAACCATTTTTTGGAATGGAGGTAACTTCCCAACACTCTTTCATTGAGCAGCATGTAACCCATTGGTTCAGAAATTACCACATCAACACACTCAGGTAGGGAGATCTCCTCAATTTTTCCAAACAGAACTGTGATCTTGTCAGATAGGTTGTTGCTTCTCACCAACAGCTGGAGGAAAAACAAAAGCACACAGAAAATCTTGACTCCTTTGCTGAGCAGATCTTATATCAGAGATCTTTAATTATCTTTAAAACTCCTATAGTGTAAACCAACTATCTCAGTCTGTTAATCAGAACAAAATAGAAAGGTAATATATTTTTCCTTGCTACACCAAAATTTCTAAAGACTGGGGCTCACTGGAGCAAGCTCATACAAATGCATGTACGGAATCAGCAAGTGACAGTACAAGTACTGTTTCCCTGTAAGAGATAACTACTCAGTATCTACAAGAAAAAATATCTACCATAAAAAGGTGGCTAGTTTAATTCAGTATATAAGATTACAAAGAAAGGGTCTTCATAATTACCCAAATTTTAAAAAATACCTTTCTTGAGTTAGTTACATAGTCATGAAAGGATGAAGAAGCTCAAGAGCTAAGAAGTCTGGGATAATTTCTAAGGATAAATGGAGCATAGCACTATATTCACAGAAGCATATCAAGATAGGCCAGTACTTGGAGCTAGGATACTGGAGATTTATCCATTTCTATGTGCATAGTGAACCTCTGAGCAAAACATTTAATGAACAGAAGAAATGGACCTAAAATTTTATGTTCAATACAGCAAGTTATTACGGTAAAGAACAGCCTTTATGAAGCCTCTATATCTCTACACATGGAGTCTTATCTTCTTTAGCTTTACTGTACTCAGACATACGGGGAAGTATCTAAACCTCTTATGTTGAAATAATGAGTAGAATCTAGGTTCTTCTGGCACAAACTTATAAAGAAGCAATTATTTCATGCTAATCTGAGGTATCTGCTGGGAGATTCTATAAAATGGAGCATCCTTTGCAACAATACAGTAGGATATTTGTATTGATGTTCAGAGATACCAGGAAAAAAAAAGATACACAATACAGTAAATAATAGAAAACACTCCTTCACAGATGTACTCACACTGATATAACTGTAATATCAATAGGAGTGCATAATTACTTCAGCAAAACTTTTCCAAAACAGACTGGGCCTTGGGTAACAGCAATGAAACTTATGACTCATTCTAACAAGAGAAAGAGAGACTAATGTTGTTATTATCTAATTCACTGCAATGTGAAAATACTAAAGCAGTTAGTAAAAAACCCAACCTAGAACAACTTGTAGAACAGACCATAATACTTCAAAGTCCTAATAATTTTATGGTCCTATATCAAATATTTGAATTATTTATCTTCCTTCAAAAGAATTGAAATGCTAGCTATTAAATACCTTTTCAACACTCTTCAGTTGAGTTATAGCACCTTCTTTGCTTATAGCTAACCTAATAAATGTAACACCTGTGTGGATTGCATAAAAGCTTGAATGAGTGATACAGTTAATGATTTTCAGCCATAACCTGCCAATATAAACTACATGCCAATATGATAATAAAACTAATAAAAAACCCCAAAATCATTGTATACTAACATGCTATTGATTAGGTAAACAACATTGCTGCTTCTTTTATTGACAAGTGTTTGTATCCGTTTCTAAGAACAAGTTGACAGATTTTGTTTTAGAAGTTTAGACCAGAGTCTACATGAGCAGACACATGATTTGATTTCATTTTGGAAATTAAATTATCATTTTGCTCACAGGTGAATTCTGTATCGAAAAATAACTGCCAAGTAACAGCTCAGCAGTAGCATGGATGTACAAAGGCAAGAAGCCTAAATCATTTCAGACGCTACAGACTGCAACAGAGAACTCACATAGTTGGCTAGGGGGCAGCAGAATATTACAATGTCTCTATCACATGCAGCGGAGATGTTTATGTTATGAAATTTTTTACATTTACTGCAAATAGTAGCATGGAGACAAACAGAAATTGGTATTTTTCATTGCTATGCTGTATTAGTATTATTACACAACTTTAAAAAAGAATCATCAATGTTTATTTGTTTTATTACCCTTAGATACAGCAAAACCAAAAAAGTTCAAAGAAACACTGTTAATACTAATCTTCTCCATTAGAGTGTAGCTGTGGCTTGGAAAAGCTAACCTTGCCTGTGCTTTTGGCCTGCTGAAGCTTGACATATAGAAATTGTGTTTTTAAAAGGAATTTAGCTGATGTCAGGTTTTGGCAACAGAATGTCACGGTACAGAAACCTTTGCTTATTCACACAAGATTCTTCTAAGTGCCCCACCACTAGGCTCTGACAGAGGTTCGAAGAATAAAGGCAATTCTGCATCTGCCAAAATCTCAGTCTGTGTACCAACACTGTCAGGAAGCCAGTGAATACCAGTTTAAGCAAGTATTCTTACATGCCTATTTGAGACAGACTAGATTAAGATGCTCATTTATTTCAGAGAGAAGATCACTTGTCTTATGGGAGCTATTTTTTTGGTGATTTTTACAGATGTTTAGAGTTAACAGTTCATATCTAGCTGGACTGGTGGCCATGAAAAGTTCTGAAAGTTTTAAACTTTTATTTTTTTATTATTTTTTAAACACAAAGGTGATTTCTCTGAAACTAAGATGTACCATGCATTGATGAGCTCTGATTAGTAGCTCATTATCACTCGAACAGAATCAAGAATCGATTGACATTAAATATAGTTGAGCTACAGTCTCCCACAAAATTCACACATCTATTTTGTGCAAGAGGAATATTCTACAGAAGTAACAGAAATAATTTACAACAGATACAGAACACAAACCTGTTATATTAAATGCACATAAAATACTGTTAACGCCTACTCGCAGGCAATATTTGTCCAAAATGTAGTTTTAAAAATAAATAAATCAGTAAATTGCTTTGAGGAGACTATAAGCTAACAGCTGTAAACAAACTCTGTCCCACCTACCTACATCTTGGTTGAACTGGCCTTATTTTTGACAGGATTAAGTTAATTCACCCTCTGCAGCACCTTCATGAATTGCGGGTTATAAACATAAAAAGTTGTTTCTGCCACCACCAATATGACTTTGCTGCTCAGGCAGGAATACTGGCTATGTCATTTAAAAGATATGCCTTAAACTATTTCTTCATCTCTTATGCTGAAACCCCCAACCCATAGCTTTACCTTGACAGCCTGATGTTTTTATTAATCTAAATTGAAGCTTCTTTTTTAAATATTAGCAATTTTTGTGCCTTTAAAAAAAAGTAAAAATTCCAACTGGCAAAGGAAGAACAAGCAGCTGAGGGTGATGGCAATACAGCTTTTTGACTCAGTGCCTTTGGGAATCAATAGCAAATCTGTGTCAAAAGGAGAGTATGTATATCTGAGTTGGTATGTTGACAATGTTTTCTCCTCTCACACAGTATTTAATAAAATTCCTTTAGTCATTAAGTTATGGTCAGCACAATGTGTTTGAACAAAAGTACTGAAGTAGTTTCAATATTTCATAGCTTTAGTAAAGGGAAAAAAAAAATCCCACTCAATATTTTATAATTTTGTCAGTGACTGAAAAGAATGTATTGTTTTCAACAGCTGTTCTCCCTCATCATTCTCCTGGATCTCAGATGACTTTGAAAGCAGGGTAAGATTACAGTGATGGATGATAAAATTGATACCTTAAATCAAAATACAAACAGTTAAATTTGTAACTTCTTCATGTGAGTTGCATCAGTCTGCCACCAAATGTGGCCATGTTGGTGTTCTGGCTATTTTTTCCTTTATCTTTTTTTCATAAAGCATACATGAAAATTAAATGTTCAAAAGCTTTTGGTAAAATAGTAAGAATTTGTTTGACAAAATATAGATCAAAATGGATCTCTAATACATATAGGTAAGCAGAACCTTCTCACATACATCACTCATTGTGAAAGCCCCAGTTTTATATCCAGACACAGCAAATCTCTCACTCAGTGAAACAGAGACCATATCATGACTAACAGACAAGCATTTAATCAGAAGTAATTATTTTTACCTTTAATGATCCCACCACTAGCTGACGTCCACAGTACAATCACATTTTCCTCATGCATAGTAGCTCTTTCTTTCTTTTTATCTAAGTGCTCTAGATACATGTTTTTTCCAGTCTGTTAACATTAATGTTTCTCCTCAGTTCTAGGTAAGCTGCTTAGAATCACATTTCTTGTTTAGACAAAACAACTACTAGCACCAGTCACTTTCAGCCTTACTTCTACTCCCCACGATTTTTTTTTTTTTTTTTTGTCAAAGGATTTACTTCAATAGTGAAATTAGCAGACTGAGATTGCTTTCATCTCACAACTCATGCACACACCACTGAAGAGCACTGGCTGTCATTCACTCTATGCAATTTCCTCCCTATTACAAGCTGACATGTTAGGCAAGATGTGTTTCAAATTTCTTTCTCCACCATGCACTGCAGGTGGCAGGAGCCAGCTGCCAGCAGTAGTATATCCAACACATGGAGACACAGAACAGAAGAAAAACTGGTGCAGAATAATGATAAAGCTTCACATGGTTTCTCTCTCCTCTATTGAAGTTTTTGAGATGGGAAAAAAAGACAGCAGGTAAGCTTTGGATACACAAATGCCAGTCAGAAACTATTCTCTGTGTTGGTAAAAAAAAAACCCCAATGTCCAATAATTAGATCAGACTGACATGAAAGTAAACAAAATGTGAAAAAAATAATCAGAATTCCTTTGAATGCTATTCTTTATAGTGTAGGGAAACAGTAAAGTACTGGAGGGGGGGAATAAATACTACAGTCCTTGGACTGTAACAGTGAGTTGCATTTTAAATTTATATATATATTATGAATTAATTTTCTGTTGTCATTTTTAGTTGAAATGCAGATAAAACTTGCCTAATGTAAACCTGTATGAGCTTCACTGGAATTACATCAAACATATAGACAACTGTAAGAGAGGCTCGGGTCTGTCTAGCTTTTCTGAAGAGCTTAATGAGGCCATGGAACAAAACAGAAATGCAAGCATATTGCAAACCAACGAAAAAGCTACCCAATTATTACACAAAACACAGTGATACTGACACGGGAGATTCTTCAGCAAATACCTAAAATAAATGAGTGACTAAGCAATAGACAGTATGTTCCCTAATACAGCAGCTGCTATCAACTCTCCCTCCAACATGCTTTTCAGGTATTCTACCATTGCACATCTGTACACAGAATACATTTCTCACAGTCAGACATACATCTGATTTCTGGTAACTACACTCTAGTGCTAAATTTTTAATATAACTCTTTCAAAAGAAACCTCTAGCCATAAAGAGGAATTTACTGGAAAACCAATAAATCTCCCAGTAAAAAGTATTACAGCATTAATTTTCATTGTTCAAATATAATTTCCCTTCAGTCAGTAGTTCATCGTATTGGTTTCAAGTGTTTTGTATTAAAATACAAAAAATTTAAAAAAAAGGAATGACTCATTCATCTCACATTCAACATTATTACACATATCTGAAACAGATGAAAATTATAATAAATCCATACACAAATGAGAGAAGAAATGGATGGAAAGTAATGCTCTTCTCATAATTTGGATACTTCATAAACCATACTCATGAATTCCACTGTGGCATATTAAGAGATGACAAATGGTATACCAAGGGCTAAGCATCTTTATACTGAATAAACTTAAATTCTTAAAACACATTATGTGTTAATAGATCAGCTGATCTGTGATACAGTTCACGAGTGAACAAGTTTTCACAGGAAATGATGGCTATAGAGGTCTATTATATTTCTCATGGAAATTGAGTCCCACTTGGGGAAGTAGAAGGAAATGACCAAAAATCTATGAATTATCAAAATGAGACTCTGAGATTTTAGCTTGTATTCCCCAGTATCTACAGCTGCTTAAGGTTCTTTATTTCTCTTTATCAAAGGTTCTTCACTCCTCTTTATCAATCACATTTTTAAGCAGTTCAGCATTTTATCCACCCCAGCAGAAAAACAATTCCATCTCTAAAAACCAATGGATTAATGCTATTTCTCTATCAGTAAGTTCCCAGATATATTACTCACATTTACATTGCATCAAAAAATAAACAATATTTTATACGCTACTGATACAGCATGTGCCGTTGCACAGCTAGTGATTTTACCTACTTCTGACTGGAGTTAAGCTCAAACAGGTGACTAAAGATTAAAAAAAAAATACATATTATATTTGCTACTACGCATTATACTACTAATATGGAAAGCAAGTTCCCTTTTGCTGTTTTTATTATGCTTTCATAAATAAAACTTCTATCATGAAACAAAGATATTGTACAAAATTGTACCTGTTTACAAAATTGTGTGAAATAAGAACCACCCTCCAAACCTTCCTCTTGAGAGATACTTTCCCTATACTAATATTCTTAATGCTTTTGATATGTCTGACGAAATAACAGAAAAAAAATAGTTCCTTTAATTATGAAGACTCTAATTATTCAAATTATATAATATAAATGTTCTTTCAGCACATATATGCTAAGTTAGACCAGTACATCCTCACCAATTCCAAAAGTAACACACATGTAACAAGAAAACATTTGTCAATAACAAAACAAATAAGGCAGAAATAGAACATGATTGTATGAAAACATTTTTTCTCAAAATATAATACAAAATGTATGTGGGGAGATTATGGAGTCCTGTATTTAAACTGGAATGAAAAATACAAAGAATTTATACGTTAATAACTACTTCTATATGGGGAGAAATATAAATGCCTAATATTCACATTTTCTTCTTTAAGGCCTAAAGAGATCATCTCAGTTTCCAGTAGCAATGCAGGTCCTTCACAGTGTTACAGTTAACAGTCAGTGCTCACCAGCCTTCACACAGAGCAAGGCTGGCTTGCTGCACCAGGACACACAGAAGGAACTTTCACTGAACTCCAGCATGCTCACTGTGTGGACCTAGGGCAACTATGGACTCCTAATATTACTTATATTCTAGATCAGTAATAAACAAAAAAGAACTTACAGATACTGCAAACTTTTTCTTTGTATGGAATGAAAAATCCTCCACTTCACAACTTTTCACTCTTCCACACTAAAACTATTTTTAAAACTCAGCTAGAGAAGATCAGTGGTTGACAAAATCTATAGTGATAATGCTCACACTTGTCCACACAAATTCCGATGCTCACCTAAACAAGCAGAGACTGAGAAAAAGCATGGAAATTTTTGCTGTCGCTGCTTTAGGATTAGCATTTTTTAGGAAGTGAACTTCTCCTTATTAAAACCAATGCCTGAAAAATACATTTTAAAACTAAGTGCATTCTTTGGACATGTCCTTTTTAAACCCTGGGAACACAGTTTCAGAAGGTTGAAAGACCTAACTCATCACACTTCTCAGGAAACTAACTCAACTGTCTGATCACACATATGTCCAAGAGTCTTAGTAAAAAACCATCCAAAATGCCTTTGCACAGAAAGTGTGAAGACAAGATGTGTAATTTTTTTTTCCTTCTACAAGTAGGAAGTTTAATCAGATTTGTGACTGTTCACTGTTTTTCACAGAGACAACAATCACATGGTTTATTTGTTTGACACGTCAGAACACTTTAAAAAATAACTTTCCACAAAGTGTTGCCCTTTAGATATCCAACTTCTTAGGAAAATCAAACTGAAGCCTTTGGCATTAGCCTTTTTGAGGCACAGTCCCAGATCTCTTAACATTTTCACTCTGCAGCACTAACACTTGTCTCAGGTGGAAAACACTTACCTCTGCATATTTTGCCATCGAACTGGCTTCAACCGCATAGACTTTTTTAGCTCCAACCTGCACTGCAAAAAACGAAAGGATTCCTAATCCGCAGCCAACATCTAGGACCACCTTGAAAAGAGAAGGCAGACCAAAAGAAACATAATTAAAAAGTCACTTCCTGACACCTCTTTTAAGTAACTAAATTTTCATTAGTGTACCCTGCATTTAGTAAGCCTGGCATTATGCAAAAATATTACTAATTTCACTTGAAAAAGTGAAAAGGCTTGTTAATGAGGAGTTTTAATGCCCTTAATCTTTATTTTAGCAGCAACACAATATTTTTAAAAGACTGTGTAGTTTTTTATGTGTAAATACATGGTTGTGGTTTAGAGGAAATAAGATTTTTTTTTTTTTCCAAAGTTTCTTTAGGAGAAAAATTTTAAAAACAAGTGTAGTCTGAATACGCTGGGAAGGGAGGGAAGGCATAACAATAATAATTCTTTGAAGGACTACAGAATCATGTCTTTCTGAACGAAAAATCACTCTGCAATGTGGAAGTATCTTGGGTAAAACCAAACTGTGTAACTTTGTTCAAATATTGGTTCTCCTTGATGACATTAGTATTAGACCTTCAATTGCACTGCTTGATGTGGTGTCTCTCAAAGGCCCTCAATTAAACATAAATCCCAAAGCCTCATTTTCTTTATCAGTCAGGTGTCTTACTCATAAGCCAAAATGTTGACTGAAATGTTTCGAGGGGTCAAAATGTTTGCTTCAATGTATAGTGCAACGCAAATTCAGCAACTGCTGCAATGGTCCGGACAAGTCTATAGGTTCCTAGCTTTGCTCTGTCATACAGGTCACTCATTACTGCTCCAGAGGCATATCTACATGGAAAGAGAGACTAACTGTCAGAGAAATGGTTAAAATGATGTGACTGATATGATCTTTGATTCAAAGTCCGACAGAATTACGCTAATACCAGTCCCTTGCTTCCCCAAAATTTTAATACCAGCTTTGAGAAAAATCTCACAGAACAGCTGACCACTTGGTTTCCTCCTATGGGTTTGTGCTTGATTGAAAACAAGGAGTGACAGTTTTCCTGTCCCTGTGGCTGAAATTCTCATTAAGTTTTAAGCCAAGATATGAAATTTACAAGCCCATGAGGTGATTTAAGCCACCTGGAACTGGATCCTCCTAAAGATTTCAAAGCACTTCAACCATAAAACTGAGCTACAGTCCTGATCCAATCTCTAGAGTCAATACCAGAGAAGTTTAACACAGATTCAAAGTAATACTGCAGCTTATTATACCAGCAGCTACCCCTGTTCTTTATTTCTTCTTTGCCCCAACTGCCCATATGACACACATTGTTTACCAGCCTTTCAAAACACAAAGAGAAAATTTTGTATGTTCAAACAGAATAGTTTTGACAGGAAAATATCATCTTAGAATAAAGGGTACATTCTACTCCCCAAAAGTTATTCTACATGACATTTAGGTTATGTATTACAGAATGTAGTCTAACACACATGGCCTGAATCTGTTGTAGGTAATATGAATCTGTGTTACAGAAACACACCACTGCAAAATAATTTGTTTGCTTCTGATACTGCACATAGTCTCAAATTTGGTGTAGAAGCCAAAACCTTGCTTTTAATAATTTTGTCTTCTAGTGAAAGGTTTTATTAAGCTCATTTTTTGTAGCAGAGATTACAGGCTGTTACAGATCCGTTTTTGTTTTTATGCTTTGGCAGGTGTTAGAATATATTCCTATGCCCAGAACCACTTCAGTTAAGCAAGTGACAGTAAATATCCGTTACATACACAGGGAGGGAGACAATGACAAGTAAAGGACAATCTCATTGAACCACTGGTCTGACAGAAACTGTCTTTGTCTGCCTAATGGGAGTTCAGAGGGAACTGAGACAGACCCTTCTTGAAGGAGATACACAGTGACAGGACAAGAGACAACATACACAAGTTGTTACACAAGAAATTGTGATAGATATGTTAAAACTTTTTCACCACGAGGGTTGTCAGACACTGGAACAGGTTGCCTACGGAGTCTGTGGCATCTCCATCCCTGGATCCATTCAAAATATCACTGGACAGACCTTAAGCAACCTGGTCTGGTTGGTCTTGCTTTCAGTAAATATTTGTACTAGAGATGTTATGCTAGGTTTCTGCGGTGGGGTTTTTGTCAGTGGGGAAGTGGGATACAGTGGTGGCCCCCTGTGAGAAACTTCTCAAAAGCTCACCTGGCTCCAAGTCAGACCCATCTCTGTCCAGGGCTGAGCCAATTAGTGACAGTGTCTGTGCCTCTGTGATAATGTATTTAAGAAGGGGAACGTGAGAAGGGGTTGTGGGGGAACTTGTGAGGAGGAGTTAGAAGGATGAACACCCAGGTCAGTGGAAGGAAGGAGAAGGAAGTGGTGGAGGTACCTAAGAGCAGAGACCCATGTATCCCGTGGTGAGACAGCAGGGCCATCCCCCCACCACCCATGGAGGTCTGCAGTGGAGTAGAGGCTGACTTGAAGCCTGTAGAAGAGCCCACACCAGGACAGGAGTTTGCACTTAAAAGAAGCCCGGGCTCTGAGGGGAGACGTGACCCCCACTGTTGTGGTTCAGTGCTGGGAGGACTGTGACATGCGGAGGGGACCACGCCAGAGCAGTGTGGGAGCGGCGGCAGCCCATGGGGAGGACTCACACCAGAGAAGGTTCATGGAGGACTCTGTCCTGTGAGGGGGGAGCCCCGTGGAGCAGGGGAGGAGTGTGTGGCATTCACCCCACCTCCCAAGCAGGAAGGAGCGATGATCTGACTGTGACCCCCATCCCCTACCCCCTGTGCCTCTGGGGGAGGAGGCAGAGAGATCAGGAGCAAAGCTGAACCTGGGAAGAAGAGAGTGATGAGGTTTTTTTCCTTCCCTTAACGAGCCTGTCTTTTGCCTGTGACTATAATAGGTGAGCGTTCATCCCTGTCCTTACCTGAATTCCTGAGCCATTTTCTCCTTCCTGTTCCTGATAGGGGAAGGGTTGAGTAAGCACACCTTTCTCCCCAAGTGGCATTGCTGTTATGGCTGGCATCTCCTACAGAAAGCTTTGCTCCTTTGAAGTAGGAAGAGCATCCTAACAGAGCTGTAAGAGCGGTCTTATTAAGACAAAGTGCTGTGAAATAACAATGTATGGAACTAGTATGCTTCTTTATGAAAAGTAAAATTTCAAAATAAATAATAGACAGATAATTGGGTGATAATATACATGACGTCATCGAGAGGAAAGCTAGTAGACTATGTACTTTAGTATTTATTTTGAAATGTGAGCACAGCTACTTCAACAATTATCAGAAATCAGAGGCAAGAATAACCTACACCCTACCCTCCTGCCCACATTTCAGTATTGCTCCTTCTTTCACCTACAGAGATGAATAGTTTTGCTAATGTGAATTCAATGGGAATTGCTCACATGTGCAGATATGCTTGTATGCTTGAGTACTTGCAGAATTAGAGTCCAGAAAAACACTTTTGAATAAAAGGGGGAGGGGCCAGAGATCAAACAAGGAAGAGCAACAACAGGGTGAACACATAAAACTACAAGCAAAAACATCATAAAACTACAATGACATTTATAATTCAAAATTACTATATATCAGCAAGATAACATACAGAAAATGTTATTGGTTTTTTGTTGTGTTTTGTTTCCCCCCCCGCCACCTGTATGTGTCTGACTGTACAATCTGAATGGTTAATTTGTGTGATCCTTCATCCAGGATTATTGGAAATACTCTAGTAACTTTGCTTTTAATTAAGGTATTCATAAATAGACTATAAATGATACCATTCAAAACACTTAGAACCTAAGACTTATTTTCAGAAGAAGTAGAAATGTGTCAGCCTTTACTCAGTTTGAAACAGCATTATACACTGCTACTGTAAAATTGTGTGACCAATTAAAACACTTTGAACTTCCCCTTTTGGCTTTATAACAATTCAAAATCAAAGACAAAGTTTTACTAAAAAAAAATTAGTGAAAGCTCTAAGGCAACTCCTTCTAGGAGTAAATATAAAGGAGTATATGCCAGTAAGAATTACCATATTAATGTGAAGAATACAGCCTCAGATTCATTAGAATCTGAATGAGTCCTCATTTTTTTAAGCTTCAATAGACATAAATCTAAGTGCTACTCCCAGTTTGTCCTAAAGTAGCTTACCTCTGACAGACAGTGTCTGAAGTTATCACCAAGGGCCCTCTCAAAGAGTCCAGAATTAATTTTGTCCAGCACAGCTCAGATAACCTGTTGTGCTCTCTCACACAGATATTTTTTCAAAACCAAACAAAGCCTAGAATATACTTTATCAGCAGATATCCCTTGACTATAGGCACAAACATTTGTATAATAAATTAGTACAGAATTTAGGGAAGGAGGCAGCAAAGTTAAAGAAATATATTAGGGGGATGCAGAGTAGATAGGAAACAATATAGCAAATAGCAACTGAATAAAAATTTTTCCAGTAATGGAGGTATTAAAATAATTATGTCCTTTTTGCCTTTTTTATCTCCTCACTGACATCATGAAATGTTTCTGCCTGTCTTACAGTTTCTGGATGTAAGAACAAATATAGTTGCCATATTTCCAACAGATCAAGTTTCAGCACAATGGGTTTCTCAGGCTCTCATGGGAAAGCATTTTGCCACCATGTAGGTTGTTCAATTTTTTCAGCTACATTTATTCTGAAAATTGTAATTTCTCAACAGAATCAGGAAAAAGATAGATCATTTTCTAGGTGGGTGGCCAACAACACTGAGATTGTAGTAGTCTTACTATTAGGTATGCTGAAGAGAAGCCAAGGCATCTCCAAAAGTCAGGAAAATAAATGAACCAAGAGCAAAAGCAATCAAGCTGTAGTACTGAACAGCTGCAGGATTTCCTGCAGAGACAAAAAGTACGCAAAACCTGAATTCCTTACTGTAGGTACAAAACTGGAATGGATATGTTCCCTACAGATATATATCTGCCTTTTGCATTACAACATGGGAGCATCTTATTTGGCAAGAAGCCAATGGCAAATAAAATCCTCTCTCTGCTGTTTCTTTCACTATATATTCAAGTCCATTAATGATGCAGTAGCTCCACTTACCCAGCTGGTATTGCCTAACACCACATGCTTTGGGGTTTGCTTCTGATGCCTATAGCAAACTGGAGCAGCCCTATGCACACCACTAGTTTAATAACCTTATTGAATTTAATAAGAAAGGAGAATTGCCTCAGGCCTGAAACTTATTTAATTTCTATAAAGGTTTGTTTAATTTCTATGGAAGTAATTAAGTATAGTTTTAAAAGAAGCATGGTTTACCTGAATTGCATGGAAAAGAAAAATTATCAGCTGCACTTGAATTTATTGTTAAACTTCATTAATAGTTAAAACATAATGATCTTAAAACAATTCAGACAAATTTCACACAACTCTCCTCATTTTGGCCATAAATACGCTATGCATTTAAAGGGAAATGTTTTGTTTGGTATTTGCTTATGTTATTGAAGACTCTTTTCTGTGATGTAGTAAAGCCATTTGTGCCAGTGTGAGTTTCAGTCAGAGACTCCTTTTAAAGGAAAGGGCACACAGAAAGATGAGAAAAAGGAAGGGAAAAGGAGATAAGACAAAAAAAAATTACAATAAAGTAAAAAAAAAAAAAATGTATTAAGAGAGGTGAACAGTCTCAGATCAAGATATGCAGATGACAACATCCAGTGATTAAAGAGCAGAGAGAGCTAACGAAGGTGGGCCAATGGAAAATGCACAGATAAATTAAACTCAGTGATGACTAATATAACTTTGTGGGAAATATTAACTGTTCATATACTAGCCAAGTTCTAAATGAATCATCATCAACAACAAAAACAGAGAGCCTAGGCATCATTATGAACTGTTAGTTGAAGATTGATGCTCAATGAACAGATGCAGTCCCAGGAAAAAAGTCAAGATTTACGAGAGGTATAGTAAAGAATAACTAGGAAGTTTGAATTCTGCAATGTAAGTTAATTGCATGGCATTGTCTGTGCTACCATGCGTAAGTCCTGCCAATCCTCCTCAAAACGGGTGCTGCAGAATTAATGGTGACACTGGGAAAGAGGGCAAGAATGATAACAGGTCATGTGCAATTTCTTCATACAGAAAACGATGGAGAGGACTGAGAACACTGACCTCAGAAGCAAGACTACATAAGAAGAGGCAACAAAAATTGACACAGTAGAGGAACAGTATAAAGAAAATTAGAACTTCACTATTCCTTTACTTCACAACAAAAGAGCAAAGTGACAGAATTAGAAAGCTGATAAAAATATTACTAAAGGAGATACTTTTATGCATAATGTGATTATATGGAATTTGTTGCTGTATTAAGGGTGGAATCAGAGAAGAGTGTGCACAGGCAGTGGTCCTGCAGAGGCTCAGAAAGTCTCTAGTTAGTGCAACAAATTGCAATAGAAAAAAAAAAAGTAAAAAAACATTGTAAAATATATTAGCCTGACACTTTGCATTTAAAGGAGCCTAAAAAAATGAAATTATAAATTTACTTCATCTATGGCTGGGAGGAAGATTATCCAACATCTCCCCAGTGTAAGTTTTCTTTGTCTTTTGCTAAGTAGCTGGTTTGAACAATGTGAGAGGCAGAGGACTAGACAAACAAGTAATAATCATATTCATTATAGTAGCCTTTAAGATCTATATACATAATTTAGAGATAAGTTTAGCATCTGAAGTTGTAAATTCCTGCATTGCTTCTAAACCTTTGGATCATACAAATGGAACCACAGCAGCCACTTATGTGCTTGCTCAGTTTGTAATGACTGTGGGGTGCACAAACATTCAGTGTAGACCACCATAAAAGAAATGTAAACTAGAATAACTTTGCAGGTATTTGCAAATGACTATATGGCACAACAGTGAATACACACTCAAGAGTTAAGGAAGCTAATACTGTATAAAAGCTCCAAGATGCCAAATGGGAATAACACCCCAAAATGTCAACAAACATATATGTGTAGTTTCCCAGCTTGTCCACAGAAGACAGCAAAGAAATTTGTAGTTTATGTATGGATCCATGGTTGGCATGATTCATCCTGAGGATGTACCATCACTACCATGCACTGTCATCCATGTACTTGACAGTAACATTAATAATATAAAGCACACATGAATTAGTGTCCTGGTTTTTGCAGGGATAGAGTTAGTTTTTCTTTTTAGTAGCTAAGATAGTGCTGTGTTTTGGGATTTGGTATGAAAAGAATGTTAATAAACTGATGTTTTCAGTTGTTGCTAAGAGATCAAGGACACTCCAACTCCTCATGTCCTGCCCAGGCACAGGTGTTACAAGATGCTGGGAGGGAGCAGAGCCAGAGCAACAGACACAAATTAGCCAATGAAATATTCCATATCATGCAATGCCATGCTCAGTATATAAAGGAGGGTCGGACAGGAAGCAGGGCTCAATCTCACTTCCAGGAAAGGGGTTTGAGAATCTTTGCTTTTCCAGGATGGGGCTGGGTATCAGTCGGTGGGCAGTGAGCAATATCATTGTGCATTACCCATTTATACTTTCTATTATTGTTTTATTTTATTTCAATTATTAAACTGTTTTTATCTCAAACTATTAGTCTCCCTACCTTTACCCCTCCAATTCTCTCCCCTATCCCCCAGGTGCGGGAGGGTGAGTGAGCAGCTGTATGGTGTTTGGCTGGTAGCCAGGTTTAAATCATGACAAATGGTATATTCATGCACAAAGTCCCAGGTGGGAAAAGGCTCCAGTCCGATCAGTGTTACTCTACAGGGCAAGTTGAAGTTTAGAGCCGAAGCAGTATACTGGAACATTTAAGACTCTTACCAGAGCTTACCTTGTCTGTAAAATCTATGTGATTTTGTAGGATAGCTCTGTGGTAAGTGGCTGTCCACACAAAATCCTGCATCATATTCTGTTGCAGAGACAGATAGCCATAGGACTAAAAGGAAAGGAGATGAAAAAGAAAAAAGATAAAGGCCGTATTCTATTAACCCTACCTTAATTTACCTGGTACTTAAATTACTAAGGTCCTGACCACCCTCTGAATAAACCTAAGCTATCTTTCTGACTGATCTGGTGTCTAAGGTTAAGTAAACAACAGTAACTTAGATTTCACAAACTGTCACTGAACTTTTTCATTACCTGAAAATACTGAGCAGCATATGCTTCCTCTGTTTGCTGACTCAACATAGACTTCTCCTTTTGGCTAGGGTATCTCTTCAATATATTTAAAAGTATGTTGTATTCTGGAAAACAAAAATAAAAGACACAAACATAGCAAAACCCACAAGGATAGCAAAGTAAGATAAACAGGCAACAATGAGATAAGAACACATTCACTCACTCTTGAGAAGAATGCTTTGTTTGGCTTACGGTGTTCATAAATACACAGGAAACAGTTTCAAATGTCATTAAGTACACAAGAGCTATTGCAAAGGTCTGGACAGCACTGAACGGTTTTAAGAAGCAGATGGATGCATGCAACATTGTTTTAAAGGATTTTCCATTCCGGTTAGTTAACTCCTGAAAGTATCTGTGATTGTGAACTCTAACAATGGAGTGGCTGAACATAAGCCTCAACCTACATTTTCAAGTTAACCTACACTAACCAAGACTCCACACAGAAATTGTGAAATGCATGGATTTGAGTGAGGAGGTTTACAACCTAGAATAAAAGTCAGATTTAATTGGCCTAAAAAGCTAGGCTGAGGGTCATGTATATCTTTCTTTAGAAGCAGTCTAGCTAAAAAGCTCAGTTACAGCCCTTTGGCTTCTGTGGACAAGATCACTTCTGACATTAGGTAAAATCATGTGGACCTAAAAAACAAATAACCAGTTCGCACAAGGGCTTTTGTCTCCATCTTTTAAGATGAAACCAACACCCCCAAAGTAACTCCTTGATGTCCAAAAGAAAGGCACATGATAGTAAGTGGAGAAACTATCTAGAAGAGGCACTATGAGGAAAAATTGTGAGGGGGGAAACATAGATGACAACAATAAAATCAGGGATGGAAGACTTTAATCTTCTGTTCGTGCAAAGACAAGAGAAGATAGAGAAATCAGACCACACCTCATTCATAATTTGCTAAACCAGAGAGACAGGAAACTCCTATAACAGTTCACAGATCTTCAAGTAAAAATAGCAACTGCCTGAAGCATGTCACTGTGCACTTGGAAGTAAATGCTAAGTGCTCTAATCATTTGGAGACAATTCAACAGTTCAATACATTGAATGGCCTTTAAAACAAAAGGTCTGAAGATAACAAACTAATAATTAATAAACTTCTCAATAGAGTATCCAAGGAGAATTTCCCTCATCTTTTCAGGAAATTATGAAATCCTCAAAACAGAGATTTGGTTGTGCTGATCCTTTTCCACTGCAGAAAGCTGGCATATCCAAATGGGAAGAGACATAAAAGATAGCAAGGGATTTTCCTTTTAGCTTTGGAAATCAGTACAAGATCAATGTCAGGCTGTTTGAGAATGAAAATAAAGACCCATGTTTGTACAACCTAACAAAAGCACAGATGCTGAAAAGTTATATTTAATAGGCCAAAAAAGTATTTTTGAGTAGGGTCTAGAGAGAGAGATCCTTAGTAGAAAATCTTAAATTCTTGGAAAGAGTATACGGTAAAGACAGCATTGAATTCAGCAAAAGCATCACAAATTGCTATTACTGTTATCCTAGCTTTCCAGTCTTACAGCTAGAAATCACTAAAATTAGTAAACTAGATGGAAATGCTCCATCTTTGGGGCAGTCATATATCATTTCACTGTCAAAATTTCACACCAAAAATGTGAGACAGTCATACTTCCTCAGAGAAGTCCAAATCAGTTGAGAGCACAGCACCTTGAACCTCTGGACTACCCACTGTAACAATGTCTACTTGTAAGTGTCCAGAGTTCAAGCCATTTCACTCAGCTGAAATTATGAGCAATCTAATGTATCTTAATGAAATAATTTTGTTGAAAGTCTGGAACAATAGCTCTAAGAAGCACTACAGCATTAGTTTGCTGTGAATGAACACATCAGTTTAACTTTATTCTAGTAGAAGACTGTAAGGGTGGCAGAAATTGTAAAACACAACTCACCAGCTTATTCAAATGTACTTCACATGCTGAGGAAATCTGCTAGAGAGCTGATCTGTTGCCACTCTGCAGAATATTCCCATGTAATTTCCATGTGGGAGAAAGCCCTACTTTGCTACTTCTTGCCTGTCAGCTCCAGTGAGAAGATGCCATATTCAACATCTGAATTTGGGGTGAAACGGAGGTCTCAAAATAATTAAATTGTTCCAGAAGTAATTGTAAATTACCATGAAAATATAAAAATGCCATGAATGTGCCCTTTTCACTCCCACACAGGGATAATGATCATAATGAAACAGTAAATGACTGGGTCATGACAATGAAGAGTGGCCCAAATTACAGACAGTGCCAATTTTCTGCTGGAAGATGCAGAAACCAGCTTAAAATAGATCACTCCTCTGTTTTCTCTCTGCATGAAGAGAGAACACCAAAAAAAAGTCTGACACTGGACAGTGAAGATTTTTTTCCAGACAATCATCCACTGTCTTAAGCTTCTATCACTCTTTTTTTCCCCCCCCCATCTGAAGGTAAAAGATGATGCTACAGATTCAGTGACATACTTGAATCCTTTCTTTTCTAGTCACTCTTTACACATTATTTTCACACCTCTGCAGAGACTTTTTGGTAGCTCAGAAAAACATCCTTGGTGTCTCTGACATCCAGGAATGAGAATGGATTTCAAAACCATAACGCTGAAAAAACATGGAAAACCTTGCCTAGAGAGGTTATGCTGTAGAAGTTTTTATCTTTGTCAAATTTCAAAACATAACTGTACAATGGTCTGAGCAATCTGGGACTGAATCTGCTTTGTAAAGGAGGCTTGACCAGATGACCATATGAGTTCTCTTCCAATTGAATTATTCTCTGATTCTATGAAAAAATTTATGATTTCATTGTGATACAGTACTTCCTTATGTACAAATAATACATTTGTTGCTGGAGCTTTCCAGAGTGCTGGCAAATTACAAAACTAGTATTCATTGAGTTGAAGGGTACATCAAAATAGATAGAAAGAAGTTGTTCATGGAGTTTCTCCACAATCTTTCATAATGAACCTCAGATGCCATTAAAGTTTTTGTAGCAGAGTACCTGCAAGATCACGAGAGGCTCTGGCAGACTACAGAGCAGAGAAGTGTCTCATTTCATTCATTGACATCAAGAAAAATACAAAATTAAAATCTTCTCTATTATATGGCAGTAAAGATTCAGCAATAAAAATATGAACAGCATTAGATCTAATACATTTTGATGTTTTCACAAACTTGAAACCCCAGCTCCATATTGTACACATTCATCAGTGGATAATACTGTGAGAAAAACATCTGAGCATAAAAATAGAAATATACATTTAGTTGCTGTTGTCAGATGGGAATTGAAAACTACACTAATGATAAAAGCAACAACCAAGAGCACTGGTTTACAACTTACCCATGAAAACTTAAAAACTCTACCTTTGAGAAATCCTCATAGTCTTGTCTGATACTGCACCAACCGAATAAGCACACAGTGAAAACTCCCCTTACAGCATGAATTTGCTCCTCTTTCTTTTTGTCACATGCTCAGTGGATATTAGTTTATCCTCAACATTTATAAATAAAACAATCACCAAAAATCTTTCAGGTGCTTCTACTTACAACTTGAGGGAAATTATAGTTAATAGCTACAACCTACAGATCAGGTTGTAAGGAAGGAATCACTTTTGCAGATATGAATTTGGGAATTTGTTTTTCTTTTGAATGCAAACAGTCAAAGGATTCCAATGGGAAATCTATTAGGGAATGCAAATGAATTATTCATAACAATTGCTACTTGTTTCAAATATTGTCTGAGAGTTCGGATACACTTCTTTTATGTGACAGGGCAAAGTGCCAAATAATAAATCTTTAGCATCTAATATAGAAAACTGAAATTATTGTGACTGTTCTGCATAAGACACAGATGCAAGAAATAAAATCAAATATATAACATGTTGAAGCTTTACGAAATTCTCCCAAATAAGGATCGCTAACTATAGAGAAGAGAAACAGGTTTGTCCACCTTTAGCAAGGACAAGGAACACCGTGTTTATTCCTTTGTAGACTCTCCCAGAAGAAAGAAAATAATTTATCTCAAGTCCATTTTCTATCTCAAGAAAGTCTATTTTTTATACCCAACAACAATTCACAATTGCCTGGCTTCTCTCCATTTGTTTCTTCATGTAAATACACTAAGCTGTTTTCTCCCTATATTCTGTAAAGGAACTTCTCTTCTTATTAGCCAATAACTCATCATGCTTATGATATGAAATATGGCTTTATCTGCATATTGATCAAGGTCCTTTAAATCAAATTTAATTTTGACCCTCCTAAGAATCTCAGAACTTACTCTGTCATATGTAGAAATATATCCGGAACTCATCTTGGCTTTTATGAAAACTGGATTTTCTTCTTTAATTAAAGGGACCTGAAAAGGATCTACACCAAAACCAGGTTGGCTCACTGACAGTCTAGAACACTGGTTAGTCATGTGTTTTGAAACTCTCTATTTTGCAACCAGGAGTCAACCATACAGAACTGAAAGTCATCAAAGTATTTTTCAAGAACAGAGTATTTTTGTTAATCCTCAGCCCTATATTCTTCATCAAGGTTCTATCACTCTATATATCTTTTCCTTTGATGCTGTAAGGAATTGATTTTCTCATCTCAGGGAACAATCAGGTAGTCTCTTCAGCTCTTCTGTCATCTTTTCAAAAGCAAACTCAAGTATAATGCTTTTTTACTGAAGGGTGTTGCCTAGTAATCTGAATGTAGTGTTTCAAATGTCACCCCTTCAAGAGTCTCCTACCCAGTCCTGAGACATTCCTTCTATTATTTTAAACAAATCATACAGACTTTTTACCTGTTTGTTCATCTGTATAGAAAAAGGTCCTACCTGCTTACAAAATTTTCTGTGTTATCAGCGGTTAAACTTTCACAAAAATTAATCTATCCTGCAAAATCCAAAATGAATGTGCTTGGGAGGAGGGAGGGCACAAGTGCTTCTTGATGAAGCTTTTTTGTGCTATGCACAGCCATCTTCTTTCACCCTCAAAACCCTTTTTTTTTTTGCTTTGTTCTCTGAAAAAAAAAAATGCAAATTGGAAAGATGGTCATGACTCTTCTTGAACAGTTTTGGATGT